ACACAGGCAGAAAGACAGACAAATAGACACACAACAAACACATAAAAATTATATATATATATATATATATATATATATATATATATAATTAAACATTCAACTGTGTCAATCCCATGTAGCTGTATTTTTAGAAATACATAGACATCTTAGAGTACAGCTGTTCTCAAAGTATTCTAGCTCAGTTAGGTTTTTTTCCTCCTGGTCCCATGGTAACCACTACATCAGGACTTACGCTGTGCTGTCAACTGCAGCTGAATGGTTAGGCTACTTGCATTACCCAGACCCCTCTGCTAGCAAACAGCAAGCAGTGGCTTCACCTGTGGTAACTGAGACAGATTTGTTGGTAGGACAGCAGACACACACAGTGCGGAGGTGTTGACAGATGAATCCAGCCCATACAGGCAGATACAAAGGTTGGTCCCAAAGGTCAGTGGCACGAACCATGAGGGAAAATGTGTCTGTGCATTCTTACACTAGGGAAACAGTGTGATATTTACACACTTGTATCTGGTTTATTTTACTTGTGACTGTAGCTTCATGTTTCATACACTTACCTACGAAGGCTTCGAGTTTATTTTTCTTACAAGATAAGATAGATACACAGCTATTTTCTCTTGTTTCATTGAGAGGAAAGGTTTGTAGTAATGTTGTTTAGACAAGGTATCATGTCTGCATCTTGTCTTCTGGATAACTGCTACGAAGACAACAATATGCAATGTATTCATTATTGTGACTGTCCCTCTAACCTGCTTTGAAACTGTCTCATTGCTATTTTATCTTTTTTCTCATTAAAATGAATTTTAAAAATGTGTTTGTGAACAGTTGAGACAAGGAATCCAGCCATAGTAGAGCATCTGCACTGTAGTCGTCTTAATCTGCACAAGTAGACTTCAAGGATGCAGCTGCTAATTTTGAATTCGTATCTTGAAGAAAGCAGGGAACTGGATACACTGGACACCACTTAAGAGATCCCAAGCAGTGACGAAAAGGCAGTCCTTGTGGAGACATCAGCCACTATCCAGAGAATAGAGGGAAATAGCAGCATTTCCTGAAGAGGAAGTGGGAACTCTTTAGGGTCAAGAGCTGGGCTTTTCAGCCTTTGACCATAGTTCCAAACACAGTTCTTATAGAGTTATGCACAGTTACATTTATTGACTCATACTACTGGAAACAGTTAACCATTGGGAAATTTTGAAAGACTTCTTTCCTTTGATCTAGTAGTGATGCTTATTTCTCATCTTTTTTCTTAATAAATACAAGGAAAGGATGAAAGGAAAGAGGGGGAAAAGTACATTCTGACACAGTGTGTACCTTCATGGCAGAGTGGGTGAATCAGGACTCACATCTTCCTGCTAGGAGCTCCTGACCCATTAGTTGGGTTAAATGTTGGAAGCAATGGGGAGGAGGATATGAGAGTCTTGGCACCAAGGGGTCGATGTTCGTCGTGATAATTTCCATGCAACCTAATACGGGAGATTGCCAAAAACTTCAGCCACTATGTGTGTTTTACTAAATCTACTCTGAGTTTTTGTACTTGTAAATTTTAGACACAAAACATGTAGGTATGGCAATAGTTCATAGTAGATGGCTAAACATGGGATAAACATGTCATGGGCACAGTAATTGTGGCAATATATAATATCCATGCAGCAAATCAGTAAGACAGAGAAACATCATGGAGAAGTAATAGTTATTCCAAGTATCGGTGTTTTCTATTTTCTTAATGCTGCTGTTAAAATAAATGCGGGTTATGCTGGTGCTTATTCATTTATCTGATTGTTCAACAGAAGCAAATGCCCTAAAATGATTCCTTTCCTGTTAAAGTGATTTGATCTAGTTTTCATATTTTTGCAGTCCTGGGTTTTGCTAAGACTGCCAGAGGAGATTCCATTTTAGTACTCATGTCTATTTTTTTTCCCTCTATTCTTTGTAACCTGTTTCCTTGAAGCATCTGTTAAGTTGAATGTTGTGGGAGAACAGGTTGTGGGCGTTCAGTAGACTTTAGCTGGAATGAATAGCTCCTTGGCTCTTGTTAACAGTGATTTTCTTTCTGGCTCTGCGCCCCAGTAGAACCTCTCCATCTCAGAGGCTCAGGAGATTCAAGCTCTCTGCTGACAATACAGAATGGCTCCCTCCATGCTCAACATGTTCTTTTAGGCTTCCCTAGGTCTGTTCAGCCCCTCAAATGTCTGCAATTCTAACTTTACAGGTGTTCGATATATGATCAGTGCCCGGTCTCTATTAAATCATCAGGGCTATTACACTCACTTGGTCACTTTGGTTGCTCTTTATTCCTCTTATGGCGCTAATTTCTGTGCCCCCCTTTTCTGCACACTGATGCTGCGTCATGCTAACAGGACCTTGGCAGTGTCCAACATACACTGAAGCCCATGCACAGGAATCCTTTTGGGCTAATAAAGCGGTACACGGTTTTGAAGGCTCAGGCTTGTAGAGCTGTACATTGCACATTTTTCATCCTCACTGTACTCCTATCCTGTATCTATGTGCTAACAACTGACCCTTTCTTTGTGTGTCTTCTTCATTCATTTCCTTCATCTGGCTTCTCCTTCTTGTTCATGCCTGAACCATTCCAAGGAACATATTTGAAGATACATTCCCACCATTCCTTTTCTTATACTAAAAAGAATTATCTTCATCTTTTCAAAAGATATAAAGATCATCTCTTCTTCTCTTTTGCTTGGTGTGCTTTCAAGTGATTTGAGTAATAGATTAATCAAACTCTGAGAGGACAAAAATAGTACCTGTCTGCTCTTTGTCACCACCAAACGCATCTCACACAGAGCAGATTTGTTCATTGGCTTAATTTAAATGCTTGCTCCAAGGCTTATTTAGAGAGTTAATAGGATTGGAAAGGACAGTTTGGTTGCCCATTATGTTGTTTTTCATTGCTCCTAAAGAAGAAACCAAGGGAGGAGCAGATGCTGGGGTTGTAAGCAGAGGACAGAAAAGCAAAAAAAAAAAAAAAAAAAAAAAAAAAAAAAAAAAAAAAAAAGAAGAAGGAGCAAAGAACAGGGGGAAGTCAATACTACTACCTTTGGGATTTAAAATTACATATAAATAAAATAAGGTCAACTCAATGTAGGAAGTAGATTAAAAACCTTGAGAAACTTTGAATTCCTTTGACTGCACTTTGTCTTTCTTTCTTTGTTTTCTTTCTTTCTTTCTTTCTTCTTTCTTTCTTTCTTTCTTTCTTTCTTTCTTTCTTTCTTTCTTTCTTTCTTTTTCTTTCTTTTTTTTGTATATTTGTCCAGGATCTATAGGGTCTCAATATGTAGATCAGACTCATAGTGATCTGCCTGTATTCAGCTCCCAAGAGCTGGGATTACAGGCATGTGCCACCATGCCCAGTCTTGACTTTGTCTTTCATTTGGGTTCCTTGTGGTTAGAAATTCCATCTCTTTCCCAGCTGACACACACCGTGGTCCAAGTCCAGACTCTGAAAGGAGGACTCACTGAATTTACTTTGTGTCTATCAGAAGTACACTCAGGATTGATGAGGACAATACCCAATTTCAATCAGTCCTGCCCAAGCAACCCATACATTTGAATGGAGAATCAGAGACCTCGACTCTGTACCACAAGCATGAAATTGTGGTACAGTGTCTTTCTCCTGTTAGAATCAGGAAACTTTTTCAGTTTAAATGAAGTGTTCTTAAAGGCCCGAATTCAAGGATAATATTTAAGAGTTCCAGATATAAAGCAAAGCTTGTCAGTTGAACAGTAGTTAGAAAATAATCCTCTATGAATCAGAGGAAATGTTAAATATAATTTCTATTGAGATAGTGACATATATGTTTATTTCTCATATATCCTAGCTATTTATATTTAAAGGTAAAGGACTGTAGTTCTACATTTCAAGGGATCAGAATCCTCAAACTAAAATCTTACTATTTAAAAAGTAGCTATTTTCAGCGTGAGAGCAATCCCATTGGATACGCCAGTGCAAAATTCAGTAGAAATTGTTTTATTTAATTTCAAATGTCATGACTTAAAGGCATACATGATAGGATCTCCAATATATGAAATTTCTTATTTTTATTTCTTTATTATTTATATTTTTGTGCACTATGGGTTTTATTTGATAAGGATATATCAATAAATGCTCAAAGATTATAATTTTGAGAAGTGGAAAATACACAATCAGAGCATGTGTGCATAACAGGAGATGAGGACACAGGATTTCTCCTTACTTTCTACTCATATTAGATTTGAAACCAAAATTACTCAGAAGATATAATTTATTAGATAGAAAAGTTCTGTACTATTTGACTCATAACCCTAAGCTAGTATAAAAATAATGCTTGTTTTTGTTTAAAACAATACAGAAATGTATATATATATA